AGCCAACCCCCGCTCCAAGATCATCCCAAAATCCTCAAGAACCCAATTAAAATCATCAACTAATTAAATTCCAGCTGCAATTCCAAGCTCTCCATGACCCAACCCCACGGCAGCTCAGAGCTGTCCCACTCCCGGTGGGAAACAGGGAAGGCTTCCATGGGATATCTCCCAGCAGCTGCTCCGTGTCCGCTTGGCCACAGCTCCGGAGCTCTTCCAGGTTTTTCCAGAGCCCTTGGAATTCTGCCCAGGGCAGGGCGGGCAGCAGGTGCCATGGCCCTTGGCCACCGGGGATTCCCATCCCATGGGATTCCCATCCCAGGGGGATCCTCAGCTGCTGCTGCTCAGGAATGAGGAGCTGACCTGGAGCGGGATAGCATTCCAAAGGGAAGGGAGAATTCCCGAGGTTTTCCATCCTTTTCCTGCCCCGGGATAAACAGTGGATGGAATTCCTTCCCCAAACCCCACGGGATTTGGGTATGGATACAGCCCCTCCAGGGCTTTTTTGGGAATATCCCAGATGGGATAAACTGATTCCTGAATCCTTGGGAATGCTCCGTTCCCAGCTCTTTCACACCAGCTCATCCCAACTGGAATTCCAACCCGGAATGAGAGAATCCTTGGAAAGCACCACTAAACCGTGGAACCCAGCCATCAACCCAACCCCACCACTTTTCCGGGATCAAACCTTTCCTGGGAATACCAAATTCCCATTGGGAAATATCCAAGATGGCATAAATGGATTTCCAACCAGTTATCCACGAGCATCTCCTGGCTGGGAATGTGCTGGGAAGAGAATCCCAAAACTCCCGGGGCAGGGAGAGACAGTGCTGGAACACGACCCCGTTCCCGGGAAATCCCAATTCCATGGAAATCCTGGGAATCACCCAGCCCAGAGAATCCCACAGCAGAGGCTGGGAAGGGACTGGATGGGATTAACACGGATACTGGGATCAGGAGCAGAATTCCATCGGCTCCTCTACGGATGGAAGCGGCACCGCGGCTGCCAGGGCTTCCCGGGAATTCTCTGGGATTTCTCCAAGCTCCAGTTCATGGGAATTCCCCCTAGCCAAGGAATCCTGTTTCCTTCAGCCGTTCCCCGGGGGATCTGAGGAATCCAGCATTCCCGAGGAAAGGCAGGATCCTTGGGAACGCGCTCCATTCCCGCCTCTTCCACGCCAGCTCATCCAGCTGGAATTCCAACCCAGAGCCAGAGAAATCCTTGGAAAACGCTCGGAAGAATCGATGGAACGCAGCCATCCATCCAACCTTTCCCAGGAACACCAAATTCCCATCCCCAGGAAGCTCCAACCGGACTCCAACCTCATCCTGGCTTTCCCAAAATTCCCATCGGAATTCCTCCTCTGCTGCAACTCCCTTGGAAAACCCCTCCAAGAAATTCCAGCATTCCGGGATCCCGGAGGCTGGAAAAGACATCCAGGACCGAGTCCAAGCTGTGCCTGATCCCAAAGCTCCGAGTGGCACTTCCAGGAATTTTTTGGACACTTCCAGGGATGGGAATTCCACAAGGGCTGCCCTTTCCAATGTTTATCCACCTTTTTCCATGAAAAAATTCCTGCTGATGTCCCACCTGAGCCTCCCCTGGCATTCAGAAGGAATTTTAGGAAGGCTCCTCCCTTTTTTCCAGGAAAAACCAGGAAAAAAGCCAAAGACTCTCCTTCCCCCCAGTCCA